TTGGAGTTATGCCGTTTTTAATTGGCTTACCCTAGCGTTATAACGCCGGCTTCGACCAAGGTCTGGATGCTATTCTTGAGAGCAAAGCAATCCTTGGTAGGATGGAGAATCCTCCTGTGGTACTCGCAGTACGTTGGATCCGCAGAATCGTCATCTTCCTCCTGATGCGTAATGGGCGGGAGTTTGATTTTGTTGTTTTCGAGAAGGGTCTCGAAGATAGCTGGAACGTCTTCGTCTTTGAACGAGTACTCGTTTTGGAGCTCCTCGTCCGAATTCTCCTGTTGTTCCCAGGACTGCTGTTGTGACGTTTGATTATCGTCAATAACCGTTGCAGGTACGTCCTCTTCATCATGAGGTACGAGATCCGAATCCAGAGGGTCAACCATCAGTTGGCTCCTCTCGGCTTTCCGCCTTCTGATGAAGCGTTCGGCCTGTTCTCCTCGAGCCTTCAACTCTTTCCAGGTATTGAGCGGCTCTATTCCCATCACGTCCAAGATGTTAATGGACAAGTTGTTCTGACAAGTCTGCAAGAGGAATTCCTCCGTGACGGGATCCCGGCAGTTCATTGCCTGATTGCGGAAGCGTTTGATGAAGGTATCCACCGACTCTCCGCCTTTTTGTTTCTCGTCGAAGAGTGTCCTGATCGACACCTCGGTGTCATCATCGAAGAAATGGGCGAGAAACATGCCTTCCAAGTCCTCCCAGCTGTTGATGCTTCCGGGCTTGAGACGGCGGTACCAATCGAAGGCAGGCCCGCGAAGGGTGCCAACGAATGACCGAACCATCAAGGGTCCGTTGCCAGAGATCACCCCCAAGTGAGACTTGAAGTAGATCAGATGTTGAGTGGGCGAGCCCTTTCCGTTGAACGGCGTGAAGTTGATCAGGTTGAACTTCGCCGGATACGGGATCGAATCCCACTTTCTCGGGTAAGGACACGGAATGCCGGTCCTCTTCACCTCTCGAGTAGACATCAGGGCGTCGATTTTTCTTTCGAGCTCCTTTATCTTTTCGGCCTCACCCATATCCTGTTTTGGATAAGTTTCGAGAGGAATCATACGGCCACCCCCAGTGTTGTCACTACTGGTGGGTCCACCCCCAGCGCTATCATCACTGGTGGGTCCACCCCCAGCGCTGTTAATTTTAGTGGGGCCACCCCCAGTATTCTTGGGTGGTGCGTTGGCCATGACGATTTCGACCACCTCCGGCTCGCTGTTGACTGCAGCGTTCTGGGTGCGACGGTCGGACTCAACTAGCTGGTTCGACAAAGCTCGGATTCGTTGATCGTGCATTTGTCTCATCTCTTGCATAGCCACTTCCATTTCAAACTTGAAGATTTCCTTCTGCTTAGTCAGGGCCTCTTCAATGATTTTGGCTATCTGATCTGTATTGACCATGAGCACCTCTCGAGCTTGTCCTATGCTAGACGTTGTCTCGTCAGAAGCGAGAGCGGAATAGGAATCCGAGAGTTCATCATCGGAATGTACTCCCTCATGGACTCCATTGTCGGCTTCCCGGGTGTTTCTCTTTCGAGATTCATCCGCACCCCCAGCCTGATAGTACAACTCATCGACGTTGCGGTCGGAGTAACCTATCAGCTGCTCACATGGGTTCTCAGGTATAACACGTTCGTTTGTCGAACGCGTTTTCTTCTGAGTAATCATTGCCTTGTTGGCTCTTACAGGAGTCTCACGTTTGGGATCATACCTTTGTGAGGGTGAAACCTTAACGGGCTCCTGATTTTTTGTGTGCATCGCCAAGCGGGTCGTCGCAGCAATCAATTTGTTAGGAGGTCGTGTACGACCCCCAGTCTGGGTGTTGGCTTGAAGCTCCTTCAGCGATCTCCAGCTCCCTTTGGAGCATCGATACGGTTGTTCAGAGGATTCCTAGACTTGGGGAATTCCATGCTGTGGTGGGGCTTCACCGAAGGTTCGGGACCTGAAATGGACGAAGGTTGGAGAGCAATATTACCTGCTTTTACCTTAGGCGTTGATTCGGCCTTTGGCATCCAAACTCGTTCGGATCTCGGCGATCTCTTAACGGCTTCTCCCTTTAGCATTTCTCGTGCCTTTTGGACCAGGGCTCGGGCATGTGCACGCAAGGCGCGGCGCTTCTGGATTCGCTCCTCGAGAGTAGAACGGGTTCTTTTGACATGAACCCATTTGTTCGTTTCTGCTTCGGAGGAGGGGCTGGTTGTTTGCCGTGGTTGCTCCTGGCGTTGCCTGGATTTTAGATCTACGCTATAGCGGATCCCATCCATCTTATAAGACCGATACACAATGAAAACAAAATAAATGCAACTCCTTTCAAACAAACGCAAGAGCTGTTTGTCATCTCTTGCTTGCGTGGGTCTTTGGCCTGTGACGGGGACGTTGATATCCGTGGACCACCGGGGCAATCAGATCTGTTCCGAGAAAATCGGGCAGAGCTTCGTCTATCCGCGGAGGGATATAGAAGCAGAACTTCGTCGATCCGCGTGAGATCTAGAAGCTATAAGCGTATACCTCGGCTAAAGCGAGGTATTAGCTCTTCTTAGTATTAACGCTAAAGGCTAATACTAAGGCTCGGACGGGTGATGAAGGCTCTGATCAAGACCTCTCCTCCTCTTGTTGAAGCACACGGGCACTCTTCACTGCAGCAGGGCTTCGCCAAGCTCTCCAAAAATCCTCCCCTTAAAACAAAGGCAAAGGGGTCCTATTTATAGGAAACCAAGAGGGGGGGCATCAAAAAGTGAGGACACCCCTTGGGGTGTCTCGGAAATTCCGAGACACCCCTGGGGTGTCTCGGAAATTCCGAGACACCCCTAGGGTGTCTCGGAAATTCCGAGACACCTTGGGGTATCTCGGATTTTCCGAGACACCCCTAGGATGTCTCGGAATTTCCGAGACACCCTTGGGGTGTCTCGAAAAAGTGAGGACACCCCTTGGGGTGTCTCGGAAATTCCGAGACACCCCTGGGGTGTCTCGGAAATTCCGAGACACCCCTAGGGGTGTTTCGGAACTCCGAGACGTCCGTAGGTGTATTTGATCGTTTTCCCCCGTAGATTCTTCGTTCGAACTCGGATTCGAGTGATTCCGGGTGCGTTGGATGCTTGACGAAGAGTTCGATCCGTTCTGGTGATTGGATTATCTGTAGAGTGGCCGAGGCATGAAGGGCGTTGTCTTATTTGTGAACAGTGCCGGGTTCCCGATTGGTCCGGGTCTTGGTTGTTTCGAAACCCTATCCGCTCACGTAGCTCGCCGACTCACTTCAGTCGTTCGTCGACGTCGATTGGGTTCATGTGGATCGGATAGTGACGTTCATCGTCGTTCTTTAACATTGAACCGTTGTGGAGACCTATAGGCAATTTTCGATGCCTACAGAGTTAGCATGTATCCATTAAAGTTAACATTTACGATTCGTCTGTGCTATGAAACTTGAAATCACAAAACTTATATCACACCAAGCTCAATTTTAAAAGAGTTTATTGATTAATTACGTTTCAGTTAGAACTTTCTGATTTTTTCCAAAAATAGAACCCTCTATATTAACAACAACTTGCATATGAATCTCTATACAACCACTATTTCAATTATGCTCCACCGTGCACTTCAAATCGTCTTCATTATCAACTGAAAAAATTCAGATTCGTGTGCTTCTCAGATTTATATATCAATGATAAATCATCTTGAGGTACTTTCAGTCTTTCGAATCATTTGTGCAACATAACATAAGCATTTGAAACTCCAATGTCAATTGCAATTTGTTTGAAATTCAATATGGATCCCACACTCTAAAGGAGTTAAAGCAAATTCCTTGCTCATACAAATATGCGTAGGTGATGTCCTGCTATAAAAACCTCTGAGGCCGGGTCCCTCAATCAATGAACAAACCCATGTTACCTAAAATATAAAAAAAATAAAGTCCAAAAAAATGCTCAAAAAATGAAAATGAACTAGCATTTTGAAAAGTCTTATGTACAAAAAGCAATGTATGATTCTGTTTGTAGAAAGGAAAAAAGAAGGCAGAGTTTGATTGCGGGTCTATGGCATGAAAAAAATATTATTTTAGAATACTTACCTTAAATATTCATATCTATTTAAAGTCAGAAAAAGCCAAAACATGCTACATGTTGACATATGGTGCACATATAAGAAAAGGTTGTGTTCTATCAGGTAGATATGAAGATCAGTTCTTTCATCATAAAAATTCGCAATTAGCACACATGAGAGCTGCAGTTAAAATATACTAAAATAAAAAGTAGAAATTAAATTTACGTTGATAGCTAGGTACTCCCATCAACCTCAGATCCCTGACATCAAAACTAAAAAAGAAGGTAAAAATGAAATTAAATATATAAATTATAATCAGAACTAAATTTGTGTAATCCAAATCCAATCAAAGAACTAAGAATAAGAAAATAAGAGTAAGAATAATCAACACTTATGCTTACAATTGAAAAAAAAACCATCTTCTTTGCTCCATCAAACTTTAAGCAGTGAGTAATTTATAGAACCAAAAAATAACCTAAATTTAATACTTTCAGTTAAGAAGTATTGGGAATTGAAAAGCCATAGCAATTAGTACCAATTATATTAACCTAGTAATGGGTTGAGAGATGTGAAGCGTGATTGAGTGGGGAGGTAAACGGATTTGGTTGCTAACGGATGAAACTGAGGGGAGGATAGAGAGCATCGCAAAATTTAGACAGAGGGAGAAAGCGGCGACGGGGAGAGTGATAAGAGGGGGGAGGGAGAGAGAGAAAGAAAGCGTTATAAAATAGACTTCTTGATTTTCTTTAATTAATTAAGTAATTAATTTTGATTTTTTAATAAGCACTAATTAATTTAAATTATCATATCAGATAAATTCGGAAATTAGGGATTATTAGGGAATTATAAGGATATGAATATAGGATAAAATAGAAATTAAAAAGTTGAAAGGGGCAAAAATGGGCATTCAAAAGTTTTGCCACTAGATTTAAGTAGTGGGTACGGGTATCTATATTTTACGGACCCATCTACCTCATCCGATACAACCATCCAAAGAGCCCCGCTTGATCCCATCCCTCTCTCCCGCCATTACTCTAAAACCCTAATTAAAACCCTAGAGCAGCTTCAATACTCCCATCTTTCTCACCGCCGCCAGAAAAATTAATCGAAATCCTTATCGTCATCAATGGAAACCGGAACGGATCCGATGGGTTTGAAGTTGCGAGAGCTGCTCAAAGAGGTCCAGCTCGATCAATCCGCCATTAAAACCCTAGATGGAGCAGTCTCTTCCATCGTAGACGCCATCAAATCGATACCCGATCAACAAGTGAGCTCGAAGGCTGCCCTAGGGTTCGTTAGAGACCTTGGAGTTCCTTCAGATAAGGTCGAGTTCACGTTTAAGAGTCCGGAGTCCATTCGAATCGGAGGCAGCTATTCCGTTGGTGCCGTTGCAAAGCCTGATGTCAATGTTGATCTTATAGTTCGAATGCCAAAGGTGAGATTTTGATCTAATGTTGTGTTGTTTTGATGCATTTAGTTTGATAGTTCGCAAGATTTTAGAGTAATTTGATAGTTTACTGGAATGTTTGGAATTGCACTAGGAGAATAAAATTATGAAATTTATCCATTGACAAATTTGTTGCTTGATGTCTATACTAGGAATGTTTTTATGAGAAGGACTATCTGAACCATCGGTACCATGCAAAGAGATGTCTTTTCCTTCGAGTGATTGAGAGAAATCTGAAATCATCCTCTTTCGTACGAAAAATTGAATGGTCATCATTTCAGAGTGAGGCCCGTAAACCTGTGCTTAAGGTGTATCCAGGTTTGTCTCCTACATTTTTTTAGTGTATTTAACGTACTTTCTGATTCTAAGAATCTTATGGCTATTGGAGAACTCTGCTCACTAGACAGTTAGCAATACTTTTCCTTTTAGATTCACTGATTATTATGCTGAAAGTAGAAAACCATATATGATACAGCTCTGGAGATTGCTGAGCTTTCAGATGTTTTCATCAAAATAATTCCTAGCGCCACCTTTTTGTTTGACGAGACAAAGCTTAGCTTGTCAAGAAACAATGTTCGAGCATTCAATGAAGGTACCTTTTTGTTGTTACCTGGTTTTCTTGGAGTTGGGCTTATTTTTTGGAAAAAAGTTGTATTTTAGTTATACTGCAAGAACATCACTAGTTCATTTAGTATCAATTATATCATTTTTGTTGTATTTTTAATTGGAAGGTGACACTGCTAGAGCTACTCCAAAGTACAACAGCAGCATATTGGAAGATTTGTTTCTGGAAGAGAACACAGAATTTATCCAGACATCTTTTCATGAATGGAAAAGTATGCAAGACGCTTTAATTTTGCTCAAAGTAAGAAATAACGTGTTCTAATACTTCAGCACATGTTTTTTCTTTCAAGCATAAATTGAATGTCACTTCATTTGATGCCAACGCTGTGGTGAACACAGTTTTTTAAAGATTAGAAGGCTGAGTCGTTGCTATTATACTGCAGGTTTGGGCTCGAAATAGAAATTCCATCTTTGCACACGATTGCTTAAATGGATACTTGTTATCCATCATGCTATCATACCTTGCAGTTGTAAATCGTATTACTAAGTCAATGAATGCAGTGCAGATATTCCGAGTCACCCTAAAATTTATATGTAAGTAGTATATTTTTTTCTCGGTGTATTGACTATAATGAATGATTCTCACCACAGTGTTATTTGTCTATTATTAGCATTTAGATATTCACATAATCGCAAGATTTAAAACATATTCAGTTTGGTAATGATATATTGAATACAACTAGACATGCCATGGTAGGCATTGTTATTTAATCTTTGTCATGGTAGGCATTGTTATTTAATCTAGGTCAGTGGAGTTTTAGACCTTATTTATAAGAGAATTCAGTTGAGTTTTAAACCTTATTTAGGAGGGAAGTTAGTGTGTGTGCTGGGGAAGGGTGGGGATGTGAAGGTTGGTGTGAGCCCAAATTAAAGTCAAACCAAGATGGTGCAAGTGTCTATATCAAAAGTTGAAGTTTCTTGGTACATGTGTTTGTCAAAGGGCCAAAAAAGAGCGAAGAATTGGAAGAGCTTGCTATGACACAGATGAATAGTTGGGTAGGAACGATGGCAAGGAATTGAGACCTATTTGAAGAATGAGACTAGAACCATGCTACTACTATTGGAAGATAGAAAATTCTAGCGCCATATATTATGAAGTGATTTTTTGGTGTACTGCTAGTTCGATTGTTCTTTGGTGTATTATGCATGGAAAAACTTGCAATTAGTTATGCTTAGTAACTTTTATAGACCTTTGCTTTTCCTAGAACTTTCTATTCAGTTAGCACTTGCAGATGGATTTGACTTTTAAGTCTATTAGTATTTTACTGTCTGCATCTTCGATTTCAAGTTCTATCTTCACTGAAGGGTCAGTTTATTTCATGCAGCAACTGCAAGTTTCTGGAACAAGGGCCTTTTCCTCAAAGCTCAGGGGCAGTGCAATATGTGTAAGGAGGTACATTGTCTGCATTCTATGCTTATGCTTACAGTTTTTTTTAATTCAATTTCTCCTTCCTGATCATGTTTTCTTGGTGAAATAAAATCTTCCTATCTTCTTAAGTATAGTAATTTAAAAATGATTAGTTTCTTGCATGTCATGTAAAATTAATCACATGTACTGTGCACATCTGATTTATTTAACTGACTTATAGAATCAGACAATTGTTCTTTCATCTGATGGATCATATTAGAAGTCGTCGATTTAATCTTTATATGCTGATTTTACGTGTTTCATTAAGAAAGACTTTCAATCTCTCTCTCTCTCTCTCTCTCTCTCTCCTCTCTCTCTCGTACATTGTCTGCATTCTATGCTTATGCTTACAGTTTTTTTTAATTCAATTTCTCCTTCCTGATCATGTTTTCTTGGTGAAATAAAATCTTCCTATCTTCTTAAGTATAGTAATTTAAAAATGATTAGTTTCTTGCATGTCATGTAAAATTAATCACATGTACTGTGCACATCTGATTTATTTAACTGACTTATAGAATCAGACAATTGTTCTTTCATCTGATGGATCATATTAGAAGTCGTCGATTTAATCTTTATATGCTGATTTTACGTGTTTCATTAAGAAAGACTTTCAATCTCTCTCTCTCTCTCTCTCTCTCTCTCCTCTCTCTCTCTCTCTCTCTCCCTCTCTCTGTCTTTATTTTTTGTTGATGTTCATAGAAGGAAATTTTCAGGATGTGGCTCAGTACCTGCAATCCATTGGCGTTCTAGTATGTGACGCTTCTGGGCATTTTAACTTGGCATTCCGCTTGACAAAGACAGCTTTCTCTGAGGTACAACTGCATTTAACTCGCTGCATCCTGAATTTCTTTCTTAGCTATTTTGCCATGCATGTTTATTATTTCTTTTTATAGAGTTCTCCATAGTTTCCCATGCATTGTTTCTGAATTTTCTGTGTACTTCTATTTGCTTATTCATTTCTCATGAAGTTCTATGTGAAATTCAATTATTTCTGTGTTCTTGGTTATCCAGCTTCAGGAGGAGGCTTCTTGGACGCTCAGTTGCATTGATAAATGCCGAGATGGTGGATTTGAAGAGATTTTCTTGACCAAGGTGGATTTTGCTGCTAAATTTGATTCTTGTTTGAGGTACTTATATATAATGCAAAGTATAAATAATCAGTAGCAGAGACGATATTGTTTGTGATATATATGGATGATTGTTATCTGCAGTGGTGTTATATGCATCACCTGGTAACTAGGTATGGAAGAGTTGAATGTAAAAAACGATAGGCAGTCTGCATATAAACTAGCGCATACCATTATTGTTCCTGAGTAGACATTCCACCCATTTTGTACCTGCCTTAACTGTTAGGTTGTTAATAGGTGTGCATTATTGATGTGTAATTAAATCATGACTTTACAAGTTCGTTGTCATTCCATGACCATGTTATTATCCCTGTATATCAAACTGTTGGCCATAATCCTCCTTTTTAAGTTTTAATTTGCTCGATATATTATCCACTATGAGGGTATTATGGGAGAACTTATTTTTGAAGCTTATAAGTTATGTTGGCTTTTATTGGCTTTTGGCTTTTATGATAAAAACGCCATAACAATTGTTTGTGTAGGATAGTTTTTTTTGGGGGTCAAACCTAGATTATTTAGGTGAGTTTATACGCTAGTTTTTTGAAAGCTGGGGTATACGAGTTTGTTAAATTGAGGCTTATAAGCTAACTTATATTGTATTTTACCAAACATGTAGATATGAAAAAACTAACTTAAAACTAGTTTGACCAAAAAATAAGTTCCCCCAAACACCCTCCATATGACCATGTGCATCAAATGTCCTGAAAGTGAATGTTTATTCTTTAATGTTCTATAAGTTAGAAACCAATGAAGCTCAACCGCTAAACATAGGCTTATTCCTGTTAAAAAGTCCACATATTCGGACTCTTATAATTTAATTTGCATAGTTAATCGACTCAATTCTTCTAGATAAATACAGCTTATTATGATAGTCTTCTGGAACATCATTAGGATTGGTTTGCTTTAAATGCAGAATAAATTTGAAAGGAAAAGCTAAAGTTAGCGGATCGGATTTCTGCTTGGATGATGAATGCTGGAGAATATGTGAAAAGGATGTGCAATCTTATCTACAACAAGGGCTTAATGATAGAGCCAAGTTAGTTCGTGTCACCTGGAGAAGTACACCTTCAAAATGGAATGTTGAAGATGTATGCTATCTCTTTGCCAATATTTCCTTGGAACTGACTAATGATCACATAGTTAATCAGCATCTGCTAAATGTTTTCTTTAGGGTTTCTCGAAGTTTGGTGATGAGCCAATGCTTGTTGGTATATTGCTCAGCTCCCATGAGAAGAGCTTTCGGGTGGTTGATATTGGACCAAGTGCTGATAAGAAGGAAGAGGTATTTTCTTTATTTATTATCCTTTTGTTGGGTGAGTTGACAGGATTACTACCGTCTTCCTTAACCCAAATAAATTTTGTACTATCTTTTCCAGTCTGTCAAATTCAGAAAATTCTGGGGAGAAAGGGCAGAGCTTAGACGTTTTAGAGATGGAAACATTGCAGAAAGCACAGGCATTCTTCCATCTGCTCTGATATTTCATACCTGTGTTTATCAATTAGATCATTGGAGACTGATTTTCTGCTTGCTTGCAGTGTGGGAATGTGAACCATGGGAAAGGCATCTTATCATTAAAAGGATCACAGAATACATTCTAACTAAGCATTTTCTTCTATTGAAAGACGACATGGTACACATTGTTGATCAGCTTGATTTTTGCCTTCATGTCCGTGGCAAAGGTTAGAGTTCAATTATTAGCCTTCTGTGACAGATTATGTATTTCATGCTTAATAAATCTATCTCACTCATTGGAAACTTTATGAACTGCACTACCTTTCTTACATTCTCCAGACCTGACATCGTCTTCTGGAAGTTTATTTGGTGCATTAGAAATTTTGTCGAAACGGTTGCGTGCACTAGAAGAAATTCCTTTGAAGATTTCCAGTGTGAAGCCACTAGACCCAGGTTCTCTTCATGAGTTTAATAGCATCGAAATATATGCTTACTTGTTTCATTTTATTTGCTTGATGTTAACTCTTTTTAGCTGGTCAAATCCATATATAGTGAGGTAGTAAATATGTATCCTTTTCTTTCATATTTGTTATAGCATGATACTAGGTGGTTAGTACATACATTAATAATAGGTTTAGATCATTTTCCTTTTAAAATAATCAAAAGCGGTACCAATTTAAACCTAATTTAATGTCATGCCATTGTTTTTTCATCAATGTTTTTAAAAAATGAGGGTAACAAATTAGTTTTTTAACCGATGTTTAAGGAAAATGTTACCACATTCGAGGCACTCAGGGTTTTAAAGTCATGCAGCCATACACTTTAAGATACAAGGAAGAACTGAAGCATCCCACAGTTTGTGCTTTTAGGTACTGTTTGCCTTTTGTAAACCAGCCAAAAAAAAGTGGTTGGATAAAAGAGAGGAGGGGCTGTAACTTGCATCTCCCATATTTGCATGCATGCCTTTCTTTCATAAACAATCAGTTGACAATTCAAATGTGAACCATGGAGTTCCTATTTCTGCAGCCTTCGGTTTTGTGATGCAATAGTTCTGAGGTTTTTGAAGTCTAGAAGTAATTCATAATATTCATTTGCTGCACATATGCAAAGAGACAAAGACTAAGTGTAGTTTTCGATTGTGAGCTTGACTCATTTGTCATGCACCCTACAACTGAACCCTTGATTAAGGAGTTAAGTAAAATACAAACAACATGCATCCTAAGTTAGGATGACCAAGCCTTGTGTGAATCTCAGCTATTGTGTGAAATAAAAAGATAGTTTAACGCATCACATCAAACTTTATGACAGGGAATTATTGATACTAAACGCACACCAGTTGAACACATAAAAGTGCATGTGGTAATTAAAGAACACTATTGTTTTCAGATCTTTTTAGTTTCTGTCTTAGCAAACCGAAGTGGAATGCTAGAAGTGCACATATCTATTATGAAAAAGAACAATCTGGTCCAACTTAGTTCTAGGTAGTGGAAGTCATTTTTATTTCAATCCAAACATAAAATAGTGAAAACTATTTATTCATCTTAGGGACTGTGGTTGAGAGCTTACTTCCATCTGCTATTCTTACTTTTCAATAGAACTACAACTCTTTTCTTCCCTCACGTGTCAATCCTCAACTATGACAACACAGTAGTCAACTTAGAATGTAACTTACGCTGTTAAACTTGTATGTTATTTTTTGTTTCAGTTTTCAATATGTAGTGCTTTGCAATTATGTGTTATAGCTTTGTCTTTTTTTGTCTGAGGGAATTTTATGCGTGCAAGAGTTATGTTTCACAAGGATCAACTGTCAAATACTTCCATAGAAGACGCATTGTTTACTTCAAGCAGACCAGCAAACTCTAAACTTGGAAATTAGCTTTAAGATGCATCCTAAATCAACCCAAGAAAACATCACCTAATGCAAAAGCAGCAAACAACTAATAATTAAACTCAACAGAACCTGAACGGTAATCTCAATCTCTGTAAGTCACAAACCTCCACCATTTGAATTTGCAGCATCTGGCACACTATACAATATTACTGAACGAGAAGTGTTATAACAGCTGGCACATTCAAACTTGATTTCTGATCAACAAAGATTTGAGATCAAGTAGGTTGATGTTGAGACAGTGACAAATTTATTTATTGCTTGATTCTATGTACTTTATATTGGAAAAGATGCTATTGTATATCGGTAATAAGATTGGGTGGATCGGTGCCTTGAAACAAACGGTTTGAACCCGTGGAAAGTAAACTGCCTGTTATAGAAACCAATAAGGGGTATTCTAGCATGTTGCAATTGTAAATGCAACAAATGTTGCATGTAGAAAATGCTAAATACAACATTTGTTGCAGGAAATTATCCTCAAATTGGTTGTTTGGACATCTGGCTTTCTTTTAGAAAATATATTTTCAAATCCATATCCAATGTTTGATTAGGTGCAGACGTTGTTAGATTTGCATTTTCCGTTGCACGAAATGTATTTCCATTGCAAATTGAGTGTTTGTTTATCTTAATTGTAAAACACTAAACTAAGCTACATATTCTGATTTGAAATCAACTAACATAATGAATGCAATTAATTTGTAAAATTTTTAACTGTAGAAGGACTTTCAGCATTTATTGCAACCAAATCCTCTGCAGCAATATTGTAAAATTTTTAAAACTAAATGTGAATTCAGTTACCATTCACAAATAACTTGTTACTAGCCAAGTGTTGGGAATAGAAATTTAACTGCATTATAGGTTGTGGGAGATCTATTTTTTGTCAACCAAACAACCCCAAGAAGTGCAATATTAGGGCTGGAAATATAATGCTGTAATCCAGTTTTAATTGTCCATCAAGTGGAGATATTGAACATCATGTTTGACATAAATGTTCATCTTAATTTGTGGATCAAATGGTTTAATCCCCCTACATCCTAGTTTCCTGCTTCCTTTTGTCTATAAGCATGTTAGCATGCTCATTACATAAATTCATGGATTCTTAAAGTGGACAAGGCGTGATTGTTGCAAATTTTTCTAGTAATGGTTAAGTAGTTTTTTAATGCCTGACTTGAGAAGTATCTAATCCTATTATATGAAGCGAGCCTTGATAATTTTATAAAGTTGAGCATCTTTTGTTTCTAACCAGTGCTTGCTGACAGAGTTCTGACAAATACTACAAATGGATAATTATGGCATACTTAAAGATCTATGTCATACGAGTACACTACAGACTAACAATTAAGCTGCTACCTATCATAGTGTTTTTTCAGTTTATGCTTTGTGATATAAAAATTTTGTTGTGGATGATGATTTAGTTATTGTTGTCAATGATTTATAATTTCTTTTCTATGGCTTTCTTTAGACCATTCCTTCAAAATAGAAAACTACTATCATTGTTTTAAAGCGATCTGGGCATCTGCCTAGGCAAAAGTTGTGTGCAGTCTGGGTGCCTAATGTAATGACCTCCTTTAAGTGTGCACACTGCATGAGAAACTGTTATGCCGAGTATGGTGTGGTTGAAGATGGCGATTAGGGTAAAAATGGATCAGATGAAAGGGTCCGCTTTTGATTTAATACAACC